TATTTTATGTGCAACAACAGCATGCTGTCTCAGTGGCCTTGCACATTATTTTAAATCTATGTTTTCAAAGTTTATGATTTAAATGGGGATGATTGTACTGAGAATAACTTTCATCTTTTCTTCAACTGAATACTGTTTCTGTGCTGTTTTGATGTATTTTAAAGAGTTGGCAGTCAAAATTAAAACTGCTGGATGATACTCTTTATTCTTTATGACAAATAAGATAATGTGAATTACAGAATGTACAACGTTTTTAAAATGTATCAATTGCGGTGTACAGCGTTTATTATGAGGGGGTAGAATCCACAGCTCAGTACTCAGTACTCAATACTCATGAGTACTTTTAACTAGGCTACTCTTTTACTCTTACTCAAGTCGTTTTTTGGACAAGTACATTTACTCTACTCACAGTACATTTTTTTGGAAGGTAATGGTACTTTTACTTGAGTACATTTTTTTAGTACTCTTTCCACCACTGGTATTTGAGCACTGAGAACTGATCGCGTGCTGTATATGAGAACTGAAGAAGTGGAGCGTGCGCGAGAGAGAGCACTTCTATCAGCGCGATTCCGCCTAACCCGCCCTCACTGACTTTAAGTTAATTGACAACGAATTGTGACTCCCGGGAAAAATGGGATGTCTGGTCACCTTATCTCTACCCCTTCGGGGTCAAAATTATAATTTATGATTTTTATAATTTTCTTAAAGGGGTGGTTCACTGCGATTTCACTTTTTTTAACGTTAGTTAGTGTGTAATGTTGCTGTTTGAGCATAAACAATATCTGCAAAGTTACAAAGCTAAAAATTCAATGCAAACAGCGATATTGTCTTTTAAAATTCTGGCAGTTTAATGCCTACAAAAATGGCTGGTAGGGACTACAACAAGTTACTTCCTGGGTTCGTGATGTAACAAACCCTGCCTTCGGGAAAAGGCAGCAAAGGGGGCAAGGCCATGCTGCTCTGCTTTAGAGAAGAGGAAGAGAAAACTAGAGGTACACATAAAAATCTATTCATATATGAATCGTAATTCTAATGGATTCACAAGTTTCAAAATCAATGTTCTAAAGCAGCGGTTCTCAATAGTGTTCCTCGCGTCCCCTGCTCTGCACACGCTCTGCATCTCTCTCTCTCTCTCTCTCTCTCTCTCTCTCTCTCTCTCTCTCTCTCTCTCATTCAGCTCAGCTCCAACAATGAACTGTTCCAATTATACACTTATTTTCACATAGCTATGAGAAGCGTTAAACATGGACGTGCACAGTTGCCGTACTGTATTAAAGCTTTAATCAGGATAAAACCGTATATTAAAAGCTAACATAAGCAGTAGCATTTACAAATAACAGCGTATCTAAAAGTATGAGACAACAACAACAACAACAACAACAACAACAAAAAACATAGGCCTACCATTAAAAGCCATGCTTGCACAGGTTCTGCATGATCCTCTTCAATAATATCCTCTGCTTCTCAATCTGATAAGCGATATTTACGACGCCGTTGTTTACAATACAACCGGAGCACATGCCGATGAGGTGAGGGGCGGGATGTTTAGACGCGCACTAGAGGCGGTTTAGCCAATCACAACACACTGGCCTAGCTAACCAATCAGAGCCCATCGCCTATTTCTGAGGGAGATGCTTCATAAAGCAGGAAATGATCAGTGCGTTTCTCAGAGAAGGGACGGAGTGGTGTGGAATAAAGTTTTTTTTTTTTTTTTTAAACGAAGCATTAACACATGTTAGACTGCACCCCATAAACACAATCAAGCCTAGAAAAAAAACAGTGAACCACCCCTTTAAAAATTAGTTAAAGAGTGAAATGTGAGGTTTATCATTTCATAAAACTTTATTTGAGCATAGGCCGCCATGTTAGTAAATAACCTGTTATGCTGTAGGCCTAAGTAACCGAGCTTTACCAAGATTTTTTGTTTGTTTAAAAACCGGCCATCATTATTAATATGAATATGTTAATGTTTATGCAAACAAAAGGTGCATAGTGCTGCTAAATGTATTTGTTGTTTGTTGGTTTTTGACATAAAACTCACGATTTCATTATGTGTATGAGTAGCTACTTGTTGCACTTTGTGACTTTTTTTTACTTCATAAACAAAAAAGTGCAACATTTGACAAAATATGATTTCTTGATGATTTGATATATTATAATAGTGGTTTTATAATTTCTAAATATTAAGCAACAAGTAGAGATAAATGACTGATTAGCCAATAAGTGATCCTCTCATACCATCTACTGGTTATAGTGCTAATTTTTTTTTCCCCATAAGTGTATACCACAAAGTTTATTTTCGGCTAACATGACAGTCACTACTCATGCCCAAGCGGCAACCTTCCGCTCTCTCTTGTGAAACCAACACGGAAGTGACTTCAACTGTAATTCATCAACTGGCCGCTAGAGGCTGGCTGCAAAAGGGTGTCAATCCCATAGACTCCCCATGTTAAAATGCCCAACTTCACAGCAGAAAATAAATGTGTTTACATTACGTATTCCTTGGCACGCTCGTTTTACTTGCGTATTTGGTGCCATCTATTGTTGTGGGTGTTTTATTGACATGTCAAAGTCTAGACCCTGAATATAATATGACCCTTTTTTTTCCAGATGTATTTCCAAGAAGAAAAAAAAACAAAACAAAAAAAATGTCTCGGGTTACTTATATAACCATGGTTCCCTGAGTAGGGAACGAGACACTGCGTCCTCTAGGGGTCGCTATGGGGAACGCCTCGTCGTGACCAGTGTCTGAAACATACATTGAAACAAAAACACAAACTCGTTGACCGGCGACAGCCATGACTACACTACCGGTGCTACTATAGTATAAATAGGCACCGGGAGCTACACATCATTCACTTCTTGCACCCAGTTCTCAATCCGAGAAGGGGGCTCAACCTGTAGCATGTTCCAAAGCTGGAACAGCTAGCAATAATTTACTTAGCTGTGGGAGCAACACACCTAGTTCTCAGTCGAGAAGGGGGCTCGACCTACAGCATGTTCCAATGCTGGAACGGCTAGCAGTAGTTTACCTTGGCTGAGGGAGCACAAACCCAGCTCTCCCGAGAGGGGGCTCGACCTGCAGCATGATTGTAAAATCAGAAGGGTAAGCATACTGCAAGCTAGCCAAACACTCAGCGCATCAGGGAGGCAGAGGAAGGGCCTAATCCACCTGATGCTGCTGGTTCCAGGTGCTCTGGAGAAACAGAGAACTCAAACTTCTCATGTGAGAGGAGAACTCTGAATTCAGAGGAATAATGTTGCTAATTCCAGATAACCCTTTGCTAAAAGGGGAGCACTGCTCAATACTACCCCGAGGACAGCCCATGGAGCGAGGAATCCAACTCCTCAGAGAGGATTAACGCTCGAAAGAAACAAAGCAGAACTTGGACACTTACCACTTACCACAGTATTTGGATTTTAGAGTTTTCCGAGCATCTGTTTACATATACCCGGAAGTACTTGGCCAAACGGGAGAGGCAAGCTCAAATACAACCCTCAAAGGTGAGGGGAGCACTGCCCGAGACAGCATTTACACAGGAAGGTTCTCGTAATGCCACCTATACCTCCCGCTCGATGCCTCAGCAAGCGGGGATATCCTGGTGATCGGGAAGCCCCTCAGGGTGACCCAGATATGGTAGACCAGTCAGGGTAGCATGAAAGCGTAACCCCAGCCCGCGCCGGGGGCCTGATGATCACGAAGGCTCCTGCAGAAGCCTGTGTTATGGCTGCATGATCCAGGAAGTATGAAGCCGAAACCCGGCTTTTCTTACCGTCTGGACATACAGTATATCGACGAGTGAAAATAAACACTGCAAGTCGAGCACCAGGTTCTGAACCTGGCTTCAGAGGGGGCCTCATCGAGGACTTAACCTAGAAAAGGGACAGAACACACAGGTCCCGGGAAACACTGCAAAGAAACTAGCAGAGGTTAACACAGAACCACCAGTTTCATTA